TTAGAGATAGAGATTTAAATCAGTTGGTTTTTCTTAGAGAGAGATATAAGAAATAAAGCAGCCATAGTACCAAATGAATGAGATATATCCATGGAGATAGAAATTAAGGTCTAGAAAAACTTACCACTTCACCAAAGCAGATTTTGCATACTTTTGAAATGACAAAGGTTTTGCCTATTTTTGCTTGATGGTCGATCATTGATTTCACCGCCAGAGTGTGTAGCAACAAGGTTTGGTCTAAAATGAGAATTTATAAAAGTATTCTTGCCACCCACAATGAATAGAGATGGTTGTACCACTGCCTGTGTTGAGTTGAATTGTAAGCCGTCATTTTGTATAAATCCCCATTTATTTCGAAAAAAATCAACAATCTACTTTGGTTTCAATCTTAGAGGTAAAGTCCCCAATATCAAGCTTATTTCTATAGAGAAAAAGAGAGTACCTTGATGGCAAAGAGGTGAGAAGTAATTTACAAACCTTCCTCTTTGGGTGATCTCCCTCCTTAATTCTCTCTCTTGATATGGGATGACAATATTCTAAAATGAGAATTTGTTATCCTACTATTTCTATCATATCCTGAAGTATCAATAATTAGGACATAGGAGAAAACTTCCCTAGAATATCATGATCTCTCACCCTTAATTATCTCCATATCTCTTTCTATATTCTCTCTCCTTATACTTTTAGGTCGAATATTTTTTTATATATATTTATCTTTGGTATACATAACATTTTTTTTTTGTATAGAATTGCGGCAGAATATGAGACAATTCGGTCTATCGCAATTTAGCTGACTTGAAGATGAGGAAATTTTTGCTATCCTCGCAAATATTAACCATTTCACCAATCAAGAGCACGTATGTTCCGCTTCGTGAGTATGTATTCTAGAATTTCTTATTTAAGTGTTAAACTTTTCAAATTTTTTTATAATTTACTTTCATACTCATTTTTAGGTGGCATTTGTTTGTCATAAACAAAACCAACCTCCGCAAATTTCAATAGAGGAGATGGGGTATGGGGTAAACTGGGTCGATGAAAAAACGATTCCATGTTGTAGATGCGTTGACTTTGGTGAAATCTTATAGCATTTGTAGTTATGTTGATTTTGGTGAAAACTTATAGCATTTGTAGTTGTGTTGATTTTGGTGAAAAACTTATAGCATTTGCATAATTTGTGATTATTGGTGTTTATGATGAATTCTATTCTTCTTTATTTATATATATATATATATATGAAAAGATATATAATATTTTAATAACATAATTGAATTCAGTGTTCAAAAAAGAGGACCGCTAGGCGCCCGCCTAGGTGCCCAGGCCTAAGAGAAAAAATTGGGCCTCCTCCCACCTAGGTCGGCCGCCCAACCTCCGCAAATTTCAATAGGGGAGATGGGGTATGGGGTAAACTGGGTCGATGAAAACAAGATTCGTTTATATTAAGGTATGTTGTAGTTGTGTTGATTTTGGTGAAAACTTATTAGCATTTGTAGTTGTGTTGATTTTGATGAAAACTTATAGCATTTGTAGTTGTGTTGATTTTGGTGAAAAACTTATAGCATTTGCATAATTTATGATTATTGGTGTTTATGATGAATTCTATTCTTCTTTATTTATATATATATATATATATATATAATATTTTAATATCATAATTGAATTCAGTATTCAAAAAAGAGGACCGCTAGGCTCCCGCCTAGGTGCCCAAACTTGGGAGAAAAAACTGGGCCTAGGAGAAAAAACTGAGCCTCCTGCCACCTAGGTCGGCCGCCCATGGCTGCCTGTGCCCCGCTTAGGGGCAGCCGCCAAGCCCTGTGCCCTAGAGGCGGCCGCCCAAGCCCTGCCCCCACCTAGGGTCGGCCGCCCGGGCCCTGCAATCCCCTTAGGCAAATCGCCCAGGCCCTGCAATCCGCTAAGGAAAATCACCCAGGCCTGCGCCCAGCTTAGGCGGACCACAACTAGGGTCGGCCGCCCAAGCCCTGCGATCCACTTAAGCAAACCACCCAGGCCCTGCGCCCTGCTTAGGCGGACCACCAGCCTAGGCCACCCCTAGGCAGGGCCTGGGCCGGTCTGATAGGAGCCGCCGCTCACCCTGCTTAGTTTACCCATCTCCCCATTGAAATTTACGTAGGTTCGCTTTCTTTATGAGAAACAAAATCCCATCTAAAATTCATTATCAAAATAAATTGTAAAAAAATTGGAAAAAAATCCAAAAATTTTAATACCTAAATAATAGTATAGTAAAATAAGAGAGTGAGCATAGGTTGCTCTTACTCGGTAAAATGTTTAATATTTGCGAGGATGGCAAAAATTTCCTGGTCTTCAAACCAGCCAAATTGTGCCTGTCGCAATTCTATATATAAAAAAGGAAATATTATAACATGCCAAAGATAAATATAGAAAAAAAAGATATTCGAGTTAAGAGTATACCATTAAGGCTGCCAAAATTATCTACCTCTCCAACGTCCCCTCCAAATTAACATGTTGTATTACCCTCCTACAAAAATAAACCCCAATTTCACATAAAATTTCACAGTCACGAATAATAATACCAAAATTACATGATGATTTCAAGTTAGCAAATGAGACACCTACAGAAAAACTGTAAGCAATAATACATCTCAAAAAATAGAATTACAACAAAATATCATGATCACTATTGCTGCACATTGAAAATAAGTCTACAAAAACTTGAAACCCGCATTTGACCAAAAGATTGTACAAAATTAATCTGTCCAAGGCCATAATTTTAAAAAGCTCTAGGCGGATACTAGGCGGCTGGGGGTCCAGGCCGCTCAACGCCTAAGCGGGGGACCAGAACCTGGGCGGCCCAGTCTCCATTTCGCCCAGCACCTAGGCGGGCGCCCAAAACCTCGGCGGTACAGTTGAATCCAAAAAGAATGACTAGAACTTGGGCGGCCCAATCTCCATGTCGGCCAGCACCTAGGCGGGCGCCCAAAACCTCAGCGGCATAGTTGAATCCAAAAAGAATTATACAGTTATATATTGTATAAAATATAAGAATTGGGCATTTAGGATACATCAGAATTGAAAGTAGACTACACATTAACACACACAACCATAAGTTGGTCCATAGTCCATATCCAATTAAAACTTAAAATTTATCATTCATAGTTCAATCAAAGTTTAAAGTTTAATAATTATTCAACATTCATCATTGATTGCAAGAAAAATTAGGGTCAGCTGCATTGGCATTATTTTTATCGGAGTTGTCACCCTCCTCAACATATTGGTCATCCTCCTCTGTCTTTTCTGAATCTGTCGCTTTTTCCTCTACCATCATTCTTTGTGCAGAAGTTCTAGTGGCCCTAGGAGGATCAGGTGATGTCCCAAAAGAATCCATGACCATGTCTCATATCAATCCTTCATGTCCCTTGACCTCATCATCATCAACTAACCACTCCATAGCACTATCCATATTTTTTTACCTGATGGTGTCTCTCTTATCTCTCTTACCAAACATGTCATTCAAGAATCGATTATACTTGACATAGATTAGGTCATTGAGCCTCTTTGATTCAAGCATGTTCCTTCTCTTTCTATGAATCTAACAAACTCAAATGAAACTAATTAAAATCTATAGTTCATATACTATTAATACAATTATACAAATTTCCCTTACGGCCTTACCCCTTCAAAAGTACTCTAATTGCGTTCACAATCAGATGAGGAAGTGGTTAGGTTTAAGATCCGAATGACCAAATTTTGTAAATTTGGAGAACTATACCTATGTTGGCTCCACCAATTGGCTGCAAAGATATAGAATAAAATCATAAATAAATAATAGAATCATAAAAAAAGAAACTTGAAGGTTTGTCACTATCAACCATGTGAAGGACTTTGACAGGAGGAAAAAATACCTTAGGAGCGCCTTTCACGCCCCGCTGAAAAGCTTTAAAAAGGATAATATCTCACCTTCTTCCCAACTTGATCCTTGGACCACTTGCATGCTCTTCAGTCATCCGAAGTAAATATCTGCCTCAACTGCACTATCCTCGAATGTATGCTATCTAGGCATAAGTACCAAGTTACAAATCTCGTGATCTCAGGCCTCACAATCTAGTTTTTCTTTGTAAATCTACGCATCATGCTGAGGGTGATATGGTGGCCATAAATGAAATTTGTAATTGATTTTTCTTTCTTCACTGCACTTGATATCTCGATTAAACTGTTAAGAGCCTCAAGCATGAGGTCTATACAATGTGCTGCACATGGTGTCCAAAAGAATCTAGGATAAGCTATGCGCAACAAATTACCTGCAACAACGTTAGGAGCAGCACGTTTGTGACAACCTATACAACAAGATGCTCCCCAACATCCTTGATTCCCTTCTTTATAACTTGAAATATGCAATGGGCACCATAGTTATGATCAGAGGCATCAAAAGGCCTCACAAAAACTGTCCCTAGAGGACAATTCACAAGCAAATTCATCTGACTTCTGCTCTTCCTATTACTCCAAGCATCAGTCAGAATAGAAACCCCATACTGAGCCTATGCATCCTTCTTAACTTCTACAGCTTCTTTCTTTACACTCACCGGCATTTTCAAAAGAGGTTCTAAAAGCTCATATGGGGTTGGGGGTTTCATCTTGAACCCAAATTGGCCAATTGCCTCTACCGCAACATAGAAGCTGCTTAAGTGAGTGGTATTGAAAGGAAAGCCTGCCTCATATAACCATATTGCAAGATAATAAGCTGCTCTGTCTCTCTCTTCCTTCTTTATTCTATTTTCAATGGTGGTTTGCTTCTTTGTTTTCTCTCCTGTACCCTCAGGATTAGACCGAGGCAAAAAACTATGCATAGGGCCTCTAACCCGAGGCTTCTTACTCCCAGAACCAGAATTAAAAGCAATTACGACTCCCTTTCCCTTTTCCCAAATAATGGATTGTTCTACCTCTTCACATCCCTCCCATATCTCTTCCTAATCACTATCATCATCATGATAATTGACTCGAGCCCCAGACTTAATCTCTGCTATAGAGGCAAATCTCTCGTCTTTTTTCACTTTTACCATATTCAAAAAAATGGATATTTCCTCTTTAACAGTATCAGAAGGCTTTTTACATGGGACAATATCCCCTAATACTGGCAAGATGTTTCGTGAAGCGGTTTATGCCCCTTTTGTGTCCTTCCCACAAAACTTGCATCTTGTGTCCTTCCCACAAAACTTGCATCCTATGCAATTTTTATCATTAGGATCTGGGTTGTAGCCATATATCCAACCAAGATCACCACTTCTATTAGATCCCAAAGAAGACATCTCAAAATAATGCAATTCATAAAAGCAATAAAAAAAAATCACTACTTTGAATTTGATTGCTCAATCTCCAAACTTTCACCTTAAAGATACTTCTAAGGACTCAAAATCTTCTAAAAATCACCCAATAAATTTATAAAACATCAAAAAATTAAATCTAATATCAATGGGTGATGTTTTGATTAATTTTTCATTACTTTGAGAAACCCGTAGATCCTAAAGAAATTACCAAAAAAACTAGTTTTTTTTTGGGCTTTCTTTCTCTAAAGTGGTCTCCAATATGTTTTAGGTTTCAAATAGACCTAAAACACCCGGCCTTTAGCATAAAAAAGAAAAAAATATTGTTTATGCCTTTGGGCAGGGTGCA